CTTAGCCAGGGCTTCTGGTCGAGGAAGCGGGTCGGAGTCGGAAGTGAGTGTCATCCCCTCCTTGGCTAGGCCTTCCGGTCAGAAAAGCGGGTCGGAGTCAGAAGCGAGCGCCGTCCCCTCCTTGGCTAGGCCTTCTGGTCAAAAAAGCGGGTCAGAGTCAGAAGCGAGCGTCGCCCCCTCCTTGGCTAGGCCTTTCGGTCAGAGACTGGATCGCTCTTCTGGCCTGTCATTAGGTATCTGGGCCAGCCTAGGAGTTGCGCATCGTTTGTAATGTCGTCTACTGGGCCGAGTTTTTGCTGGGAAGCGGGCCCATTAGGGACCCTGGGTTTATGAACCCGACAAATATGTTGCGATGAAAACCATATTCAGAAACACAGAATCATTTTGAATATGGCATGACCGATTGGGTCATCCTGGGTTGAGTATGATGAGGAGGATCATCAATAATTCTGCTGGCCATGATGTCAGAAGCTACCCTAATCCTAAAGATTTTATTTGCACCGCATGTGCAAAGCGGAAGCTAATCACTAGACCATCCCTCCTGAAGATTAGGGATGAGTCATCTGTGTTCCTGCAAAGGATACAAGGTGATATTTGTGGACCTATTCAGCCCCTGTTGGGCCCATTTAGGTACTTTATGGTATTGATCGATGCATCTACCAGATGGAGCTATGTGGACCTGCTGTCCACTAGAAACCATGCTTTCTCCAAGCCCATTGCCCAAATAATTAGGCTAAAAGCAAGTTTCCCTGATAACCGCATTCAGTCCATTCGAATGGATAATGCTAGTGAGTTCAGGTCGAAAGCTATTGATGATTACTACTTAGCTATGGGCATTAAGGTAGAGCATTCAATACCACATGTCCACACACAAATGGTCTAGCTGAATCCTTAATCAAGAGGATCAAGTAGATTGCTAGGCCGTTGTTGCAGAATTGTAGGCTGCCAACTAGTTGTTGGGGCCATGCAGTGTTGCATGCTGCAGCACTAATCTAACTCAGGACAACTGCATATCATGACACATCTCCCTTACAGCTGGTGCATGGGAAAGAACCAATTATTTCCCATCTGCGTATATTTGGCTGCGCGGTGTACATGCCAATACTACCACCCCAGCGTACATCAATGGGACCCCACTAGAAGTTGGGGATATAAGTTGGTTATGAGACTCCGTCCATAATCAAATATTTGGAGCCTATGACTGGGGATCTTCATACGGCTCGGTACGCTGATTGTGTCTTCGATGAAGACCATTTCCTAGCATTAGGGGGAGATAGGCATCCATAAGAATGCCAGAAAATTGTATGGAATGCAACTGGGATGCAATCCTTAGACCCGCGCACCAGTGAATCTAAACTAGAAGTTCAGAGGATCATACAATTCCAAAATCTCACAAATAGACTGCCAGATGCCTTCACTAACCATAAAAGAGTGACAAGGTTGCATATACCTGCAGTAAATGCACCGGAGAGAGTACAGGTACCCCAGAAGGTTACCATCTCTACTGTCTCCTCTAATCCTAGGAAGAGGGGGAGAACTCCGAGTGCTCAGGACAAGGTTCCGCGGAGACGTCCGCAAAGACGGGGACCTAAGCCACTTGCATCACTCAAGGAATCAGTTGAAGAAGCTCAACCTGAAGTTGAGAACGCCCCTAAAGAGGCAACTCAACCTGAAGTTGAGATGGTCCCTGAAGGACCCCATCCTGACGATGGAAATCCAAATGCATCGTGCGCACACTATCGCATTGGAAGATCGGAACGCCCCAGCTCAATAGTTATGGGAAATCACAATGAGTGGGATGACGATCATGAGGAGATCACCACTAATTATGTGGAGTCAGGAGAGTCATATAAAATAAAGACTACTGTTGTCGACATATATTTTGCCTCAAAAATTGCTGACTCAATGGATCTGGATCCAGAACCAAAGTCGATGATAGAGTGCCAAAAACGCTCTAATTGGGACAAATGGAAAGCAGCAATTGAGGCAGAGTTGCGCTCGCTTTACCAAAGAGAGGTTTTGGGGCCTGCAGTCCCAACACCCCCAAAGGCCATCCCTATAGGATGCAAATGGATCTTCCTCCAGAAGAGGAATGAACATGGCCAGGTGGTAAGATACAAAGCAAGGCTAGTGGCACAAGGGTTCATGCAGAGACCTGGCATCGATTATGATGAGACTTACTCTCCTGTTATGAGTGGCATAACATTCTGATATCTTATATCTATGGCAGCTCACTTGAACTTAAAGATGTAGTTGATGGATGTTGTGACCGCATACTTATATGGATCACTTGATTCAAAAATCTATATGAGAGTCCCTAAAGGGCTCAAGATCCCTAGACCGAATCAAAACCGCAACATGTTCAGCGTCCGCCTGCAGCGGTCGTTGTACGGGTTGAAACAATCCGGAAGGATGTGGTTCAATCGCTTGAGTAACTTTCTCCTGCAGAGAGGTTACACCAATAATGATGATTGTCCCTGTGTCTTCATAAAGAAATCTAATGATGGATTTTGCATCATCTCCATCTATGTCGATGATTTGAACATCATCAGGACTTCAAAGGACATTGAGGAAGCGATGGCTTACCTCAAGGCGGAGTTTGAGATGAAAGACTTGGGTAAAACCAAGTTTTGTTTGGGCCTGTAGCTCGAACACCTCCCAGAAGGAGTGTTTGTACACCAGTCCACCTATACAAAGAGGGTATTTGAGAAGTTCAACATGAGCGAGTGTCACCCTCTGAAAACCCCCATGGTCGTTCGATCATTGTAAGTGGATAAGGATCTGTTTTGGCCCAAGGAAGGGGATGAGAAAATTTTGGGACCTGAAGTTCCATACCTCAGTGTCATTGGGGCACTAATGTACCTTGTAAATTGCACACGGACAGACATTGCATTCGCAGTGAACTTGTTGGCCAGGTACAGTGCCGCACCCACCATCCTTAGATATCTAAAAGGCACTCAGGACCTTGGGCTGTGGTTTCCGAAAAAGGGGGACCTAACTATGGTGGGTTATGTGGATGCTGGCTACATGTCCGACCCCCATAATGCCAGATCTCAGACTGGTTTTGTGTTTCTCTGTGGTGGTGCAGCCATCTCCTAGCGGTCTATGAAGCAGACCCTGGTTGTCACATCGACCAACCATTCAGAGATAATTGCCCTGTACAAAGCCACATGAGAGTGTGTTTGGCTACGACGAATGATTAACCACATCCAAAAGTCACGTGGTATGAATATCATCGACACCCCCACCATTATTTATGAAGATAATGCGGCTTGTGTTGCACAGATGCATATGGGCTATGTCAAGAGCAATCTCACGAAGCATATTGCTCCAAAATTCTTTTACCCCCCATGAGCTCTAGAAGAGTGGGGAGATAAATATCCTGCAAGCAAGGTCATGTGAGAATCTTGCAGATTTATTCACAAAATATCTACCCGCTTCTAGCTTCCACAAGTGTGTCCATGGAATTGGCATGAGGCGACTTAGAGAATTGCAGGGTTCAGGGGGAGACCAACCCTAGAGCCATAGCTCATGATCATGATCCTGAAGATCATGAGTCGGTCCTGAAGGCCTGACCCGGACATCAACTGTTGTACTCTTTTTTCCTCGATGAGTTTTTCCCACTGGGTTTTCTCATGCAAGGTTTTTAACGAGGCAACAAGTGCAGCATAAACAATGCATGTGATGTACTCTTTTCTCCTACCAGTCTTCCCACTGGGTTTTTGGGGGAGTTTTTAACGAGGCATAAGCATGGCATATAATTGTCCAAGGGGGACTGTTGTGAATCAAAGTCCAAGACAGTGTGAACAACAAACTTTGAATGGTGGCCAATTAAATGAAGAGGAGAAAGTCTAAGAGTTCAAACATTGTAACTTTGTATTCATCTCAACCTCCTTTGCTATAAATAGGAGGTCACTTTCACCATTGTAAATCACCAGAGAAGAAAGTGAAATAAAGAAAGACTCCTTCCTCTTCTACATCTTTCTTTTCTTGTGTTGTGTGTGCTTGTGTGCAATTCAGAGAACACAATTCCTAACAAAAATCAAGTAGCCACAATCTGTAGGAAGGAGAAGTTGTGGGATAATCAAAGTACAGGGAGCTGCTGAAGTAAACAATGTCAAGGTGAAGTTCACATGCCTACCTTAAATGTTTTTGTTTCAGTAGAACTAAGAGCACAGAGCTAAAACTAATCACCTTGCTTAGCTGTCTCTACAATTAGTAACTCAAGCAAATTTTGCATCTAGCAACACTCTGACTACTACTTCGGAGGAAAATATATAAAAAAAATAAAACATGGTAGATTCACTGGGAAGGAAGGTGAAGGGGGAGGAACACGCACTATCCAGATGTAGGAGTTGCAGCTAGACTTTAAAACATCACAAAGCTTGTTCCCTGTAGCTGTATCGGGGTTTCTTGGTGCCACCGCAGCACCATAGCCACTGAGCACGGCAACAGCATCATGGTGGAGCAGGCCGCTACCGGCGCCCCCAACCTATAGTATTGCACACATGAGAGAGGGAGAAATGGGGGGGGATGGTTAGAGAGCAGTTGGGGTCCATAGGGTTTAGATCTAGAGTAGTATTCAAGAAAGAACCCTAGCCATGGTTGTTGATTGGGAAATTAGCTTAGTACCATTAAAAGATTCGATCTTTAGAAAAATACCATTGAAAGGTTTCTCCGTTATAGCCTTTTAGCACATCCGTTAACTCCACATTACCTCCTATTGCAGATTCATTTGAGCAGCCTTCACACCTTATTCACAGCAAACATTGAACAACCCTCTAGACCTGATGACTGCAGCATATATGCTGTCGTCTAGCCCAAGCCCCCAGGATATAACACTCTCATCAAGGATATAACAGAAGTTTCAGCATGGTTTCTCTAGAAATTTCACACAAAAATTTCAGCATGGTTTCTCTAGAAGTTTCAGCAAGGTTTCTCCAGAAATTACATATATATACCACAGTTCACACACTAAAGTACTAATATAGCTAATTCATCTACTCAATGATGAGCCTCTGATTGATTCCACCAGGTGAGATTGCAGCCATCCTTCTAGTTGTTACACCTGGGCTAGTTGGAGGAAGGGATGACATCTTTCTAGTTGTTACACCCGGGCTTGAATGAGGCGTTGGAGAGGGTTCAACAGCTGCTTTGGATGTCCCAGCATCAGTTGTGGAGGCTCCAACAAATTTAGAGTTGTTTATCCTGTGTTTAAAAACTTGGGTTGGTAAACAACATTTTAAGCATGTAAAAAGAAACAAAATATTATATTACCTTGTTTTCCCCTTTTTTTGGACGAGGTGGTGGAAGTTCTTGTTCTAATTCAGCTTGTGTAGCATTACAACCCTTCGGGCCAAACTGAAAACACCTTTTGCATTGGTATGGTCCTCTTTTTCCTGGCTCTCCTTTAGTCTTTACTCTTTGTTTCCTTGATCTACCAGTAGCCCTTTGTAATGGTGGAGGAATCATTTCAAAACCAAGATTAGCCTTTGGCTATTCAGACTTGTCATTCATAGGAGCGATCTAAAATTGGTAAGCCATCTTAAATCTCTCTACAGAATAGTAATCATGTACAAAGTCATCAATGTTTAGTTGCCTCACTTTTCCAAATAAGTATATAGCATGAGTGCATGGTTTTCCAGACACCTCCCATTGTCCACAGCCATATTCTCTTTTCGTAAGGTCAACTACATACTTCCAAGTTTTTCCTTCCTTTGTTGTTCCTAAAATTTCAGCTGACATGGGACCACTTTTGTTGATATCATAGTGCAGCCCTAGACTCTTCATGTTCAGATCATGTATCACACTAGGGAGGATGCGCCCTTGAAGTCTGTTGGCTATCTCTTGCCTTGTGTAGATCTTCTCCATGATCTTCTCTCTGATCTTATCCATTAGATCAACAACTGGAAGGTCTTTATATTCCTTAATCCAATTATTAAAGCATTCAGATATGTTATTGTTAACATAATCAACTTTGCATTCTTTGGAGAATTTAGATCTACTCCATATCAGCTTGTGATGGTTGTTTAAAAAGGGAATTGCTTTAGGACATTCGGTTCCAATTTTCTCCAACAATGCATCATGCCTTCGAGTTGTACATGCAAAAACTGTATCACTCTACAACGAATATTAGATTATAAGATCTAAAGAAAAAATAATAACCATGAATGTGTCGCCACCATGAAGTTTCTTTGCAAAAATTCTCCAATCACAGTTTGCATCTGCACACCTTGTCTTGTACCTCTCTTTGTCACTATGTTCAACCCTAGTATCAAACTCATTTTTTATGGCATATGTCCTCAAGGTCATGATGAACTCGTCCTTATCTCCAAATGTATCTCCTTCATTAATAACCGGATTCTCTTTGTCATGTGTTGTGAAAGGTGCAACGTAATCATCTATCATAGTAGCCTCATCATCATGAACACATTCAGAATCAAAGTCTAGAACAGACATTGCCCTCTTTCTTTTCTGCACCACTACTTCAATATTTTCTGCTAGCTGTGTATCATTAACTGCAATATCAATTGGTTTGAAGTATCTCCACTCTTCGTCTACTCCGGTTGGCTCATCCCCATCAGGGTCACACCCAACAGTCATGAAGTGCTCCTTCTCCTCCTCTTCAGGCATTGGTGGCCCTGCTATGGTTTCTCCATATTGTGGTACTTCTGCCCATTCAAATCCCTCAAACTCCATCTTCTCCTTAACAACTGGCACTTCATTAGGCATGCCCTCGCAATCCATGTTCGCTGCAAGAGGCATCTCATCCCCCTCCACATGACTGCTCACTATCATCATAAATTTCACCAATTGAGATGCCCTTAGCAAGCTGCGAAGCTGACCATCTAAAATTGACTTGCATGTCCAATGCATCCCTTTTACAACCCAGAAATTTGCCTATTGGTTGCTGTCCCATGTAAAGTGCGAAGCAATATCCTTCTCTAGATTAATGACTAAATACTTTTTTGAATCAACAACCCAGCTTACATCTCTGCTCCTATTGTAGACCTTTTTACCATGTATAGTACTGAAGTATGAGTTCATAGTGACATCTACTCTACAAGCATTCTTTGGATCAATCCTGTGATATGTAGCCCGAAACACATGGAACATAGGGGAAAAAGTAAGGCCCAATTCACAAAAAAATCAGGTCCTCATTCAGTACGTTTACATAGCCATGTGCACACAAAAATAGGGAAAATACCAGCAAAATAGATACAAATTGGAAGAATATAGCGTGTGTCCAAGGAGATTACCCTTCTGGAATTTCGGTAGCGTCCATCTTCGCTCAAATCCCCAATCCCTTGTCACAGCACTACAGAATCCCCAATACCTAGGGTTCAGACCATGAAAGAAGAGCACAAGAAGAATAGAGAACAAAGAAAAAATAGATGGAGAGGGGCGCACCATGGGGGATAGGCTTGAGAAGTCGCTGCCGTCATCGCCGAGGGGACGAGGGGCCGCCGCCGAGGGGAAGAGAGCAGCTGGAGGTTGCGACCAGGTGCGTTCGTGCTTTCCTCGGCAGGCTGGGTTCGTTTGGGCCAGCCGGTCAGGAGCCAGGACATGTCGGTGCTTTCAAGTTGGATCCGATTTTTTTCCCTCCAGCTTACGTGAAGTTAACAGGAATGCTAAAAGGCTACAACGGAGGAATCTTTTAATGGTATTTTTCTGTAGTTCAATTTTTTAATGGTATTTTTCTAAGGATAGGATCTTTTAATGGTACTGAGCTAATTTTCTCTCGTTGATTTGGGGCAGGTAGCTTCAACGCCGTGCCCAAGGGATACAGAAGGAGAAAGAAAGCAGAGCAAGGGAGAGGAGACTGGGAATGGAGAGTTGGCGTGTTCGGTCTGTTGACCTGCTACTGCTAGTACGTACTGTATGGGGCTTCATGCTTCAGTACTAGTATACTAGTACTAGTAGTAGTAGTAGTATGAGGTCCAGTGTTGCTCACGTGGATAAACAAGAAAAGTTAAGAATGCTAGTTAATGTAGGGCCTGTTCGGCAGGACTGAAAAATACTGTTCCGGCTGATTGTTGTGAGAGAGAAATACTGTTCTGGCAGGACATGAACAGTGATTATGTGAGAGGAAAAATAAGCCAGCTGGCTGGCTTTAAGCCAGCCGAACAAGCCTGTAGTGGCTGAATAATTTCTACTGTGTAATATATTTCCTATAAATCATAGCAAAGCTAAAATTTGAGACTAATAAAATATCTTGACTATAGAATAAGACACACGAATACGTAGCCATAATGTACAAATTTGTGTGTATTCTTTTAGTTTTGCTAAATACCAATATATAAAAATATTATAATTAATTACAGGAAGCAAGCTAGAACATTGAAGGACATCCAGAGTATACAGACGGATCTATGGTGGCATTTGGGATTCAGGCAAGTCACGTCGATTTTTATAAAACAAACTTACTTCCAAAATACTTGCATAAAAATATTTTTTCTAAATTAAACTGAATTAACCTGATGACTATGATGGATAATGATTACTAGATGATAACTGGATATCGGTATAGATAGAGTTCATGGAATGTGATGATGAATTAGGGTGGATCAAGCTCTCTCTACATCGACTACGAATATATAAGGACCAAACCCTTCTCACTCATTATGTGGGTCATATGAAACCGTGTCGACAAGTGAACTCGTTTGGGACGGGCCGAGTCCAGTACCCATGAATGTTGTTATGTACTCCCTACGGTAAGTGAGGAGAGGGTTGGGTGATGAAATTCCTAATCAGGTGTCGATGAAGTGCACCCAGGCGCATATATTAGCGCATGTGGATAGATGTGGATGTATATAATATACAGAAATGGGGAAAGTCCGATATCTTGACTATGAGTCGCACCAAAGGAAGTGCAATGGAAAATTGGTCGGAGTAATCATTGGTAAAATGATACAAACCTGCGCAGGGTTAAACCATGAATTCATGTCATGTCTCTTGGATCAGAGGCTACGGGAGCCTATAGGAGGCTCTATCTCACTTATGGGTGATAATAGATTTCTTAAGCTATTTTCTAAAATATGCAACTTTTTGATAAATGATCTATGATTAAGAATTAATATGACAAATGGCTAGGAATGCATTTCATTTCATTTATTATATGCTTGCTGAGTACCTTGTACTCTTGCTATTAACCCTCCTCCTTCAGATGGAGAGAAATAACCTATGATGATGAGATATGCCAAGCACTTGACCTAAAGGAAGTTTCAGGAATAATACATATTAAAAATAAAGCTCGAGTATAATGTGAAGGTGTCGCTATTATTTTTGTACTACGTAATGTTTATTATTGTTTTTATTAAATGTAACAAACTGTGTAAGGTCCTAACTATTATTCCGTTGCAACACTTTGATTAGTGTCATTACTCGGGAAAGTATCACTTGTGTCAGGTAATAACCCCTAAGCAGGCATTTTTACTTTGGTTGTAAAAATGTGGGACGTTACACAGCCATCCTGATATATTATTTATGACTTTGCAGACTTGAGAGTTTACAACATGGAGCAACACTTTGATTATGTATCCTTCAACAAAGCGGGAAGAGAAGAATGTAACAAGCAACTCGCTGGAGGACTTAAAGTGCAAATTAAGGTGTTGTCCGGTGTCTGCTGATGCAGATGGATACTGAGGAGCAGGGTTTTGTAATTTCGGCATTGCAAAAATTTCGGCCACCACCAAAATTACTGAAATTCGTAACATTCAGCCAAAATTTCTCTATTTTTTTAAAGACTAGCACATGAAGAATGTTTTTTTCTAAAAAAATAGATCTAAACAAATATTACCGCTGATTTATGACTTGAACAAAATAGAGAAATACTGAGCAATATAAGCCGGCTACAGACTATCTTATTCTAGGCAGGCCGGTCGATGCACCCAACAGGGCGTTCCTGGTTTCGATGGCTGGTGCCTGCATGTCTGCATGCACAGCTACGGCAAATTAATAACGATCTGTTACTGTCGCTATTTACTAATTAAGGCCAGATATGCATGCAGGTCGTAGTTATTGTGATTACGGTGATTTCGGATCTGCCGTGTGTGTGCATGCAAGCTAGCGGAACGAGTGGTTACGAGAATACATGAATTAGCGTACACATGCATACAAGTGAATTAGCGTATGCATGCACTGTTTGTGCCATCATATACAAAGGTAGGAGGAATTAGCACAATTATACATTTAATTTTTAAAAGAACTATATACTTACGAGAATTTAAGTGGTTAAGAGATGATAAGTCAGATCGAGTTACTACAATTTGGCATCATGGAGTACTATAATTTGTGTAGTTACTATAAAAGATGAGTTACCGTAATTTGACGTCCTTCGTTTCCTAGCGAGGCGTATATATGCACCTGAACGGCGAACGCAACAACGGTAAGTGACGACAATGTGGCTAGTGATTTACGATAATCCACATTATCATTTACCATAGTCGAGTTACCATAATGGCACATTCGGTTTACTACACAGAGAAGATTTACGATAATCCACATCGACGGCACCTTCTACTCCGGCTGCGGCGCACCAAAGCAGCGCCGGCGCAACGCCAGGAAGAAGAATGGCGGGAGATCGGCGGCCGGAGCGTCGGCTTCGTCAGCAAGGACGGGGCCACCGGCGGTGGCGACGACTCCCTCGGCTCCTCCGGGAGGTTCGCGCGGGCGCAGGGGGAGCATGAACTTGTCGGCGACGTACGACAGCAGGACGAACGACGTGGAGAGCTCGGTCTCGGTGGTGGCCAGAGGCGACTTGTGGCGCGCGGAGGCGTCGCACAGCAGCAACAGCGTCGCCGCCAGTGCCTCTGCTCCTACAGGCGCCGGTGCCGGCTATGGTGCGAGGTCCGGCGATGCGTCACTGCCGACGCGCGAGTGGCTCGCGAGGTCCGGCGGCCCGGCGAAGCGGCACGGCCAACGCCCGGGGTGCTCGCACGGTCCAGCGTTGTGGTGCAGCGGCGAGCCCGCAAGGTCTCCAGCCGGCGGCACGACAAGGCGTCACCAGTCACGACATGCACGCGAGGTTTGGCGACAGTGTTAGCCGGCGGCGAGGTGCAGCGACGGGCCTGGCGATGCTTTTGCGGTCCGACAAGGCGTCACCAGTCACCTCATGGCGTGTTGTCTCTCCGCCGCTGGCCTGCACACGGACGGAAGGATGGCCATGGACCACCGGTGCATGGATAGCGCCAGCTAACCACGCTGACCAACAACCAGGACGTCGTCATGTGGAGCAGTGAGGACGTCCGTAGCACTGTACTCCATGTGTGATTGATTCATCCGATTCCGCTCGGCCCGCAGACCGCCGTGGCCCGCCACCATGACCGGTCGCTGGAGCTCGTAGACCGCCATGGCCCGCCGCCGGAGGTCACAGGACCTCCACCAGAGCTCGCAGGAATCCCGCCTGTGCGCCCCGCCCGCCATGCCGCGTCCGCCTCCGCCTCCCGCGCGCGCGGCACTGCCGCGCCGCGGGAGGCTCCAGCCGTGAGCCTCCGAGCGCCCCGCCCGAGGTCGACGGGGCAACTGTGATTTTTTTTATTTTTAACATTTTTTATAAATTAATTTTAAATTCAACATTGTTTTTTTTCTTCAAAACTAATACTTTTACCCGCGTCTATTTTTCTGGCGCGGCGAAACGTCTATGCCGCGCCATGCACGGTGGCGCGGCGAGAAGGATGACGTGGCGACGACCGAGGCGCTGACCGGTGACGTGGCAGGGTCTGCCGCGTCACTGATCTTGGTGCGGCACTGACGCGCCATAGCCCACGGCGCGGCAAGACCTGGACGCAGACAGAAGCCGACCAGCCTCAATTGCAATTGAACAGGAGCTGAACAACTACAAATGCCACGGCGCATTGAAACGAATATGAAGCAAATAAATGAAGTCTGTGCGCAGGTTGAGAAGTTGCCACATAACATTTTCATTGGTTCGACATAAGTTCGACATAACCAACTAAGTCTGCAAGTTTCGGACGGCAATATTCGTTCGACATAAGTTCGACATAATCAACTAAGTCCCAGGAGTGTAAGGATCCCTCGGACATCTCTGTCTCTTCGGATTTGTAGGCAACATATTAGGAGTGTAGTCAACGTCGGTGTGGTCGCGTTGCCGGTGCGTACGGCTCGTACCCTGCAAGTATATGATATGCACGATTATTTATAATCTTTATGATCGTTAGTTCATGGAGCCTACGTATTTAAAGAAACTACATTTGTTACTACATGTGAGGCTCCTTGGTTATCAAGCGGGGCACCTGAAAGCTCTAGTTTGGTTTTGATAAAGTGATGAAACCCTAAGTGCTAACCTAGTTTATCAAGTGATCATAATATAGGTAGCACACTCTAAGTGGTGAAGCAAATGAAGATCATAACATGATGATGGTGATGCCATGGTGATGATCAAGTACTCGGAC